AAAAGAAAAATTCTTTATTAAAATAAATTATTAAATCATTGCTGGCTTACAAGCAGCTATTCTAAGGGTAATTTATAAATGGGGAAAAAAGGAGACCTGCTTTTTTCACTACTGTTCTCTTTTCATTATAGAGGCTGTGTGACCAATGATAGTTCATTGAATTTACATCCTCTGGATAGATCTTCAGATGCATCTTTGAGCCTTATTAATAATATTAATGCTCAGAACACATAAATTAATTTTGTATGTGAACTTCAGAATCATTCTAATAGTGTTGTCTTATGAATCTCTGGCTTTCCAGGAAAGATGTGGTTTGAGTTTCTTGTCCAACTAGATAAGCAATCACTTTTATCAGTGTACTGGGGTGCTACTTTTGTTACTGTTACAACTTCCCCATCATCTTTGCTACTTCAGTATTTCCCTAAGTAACTTGCATCCACTGTTGTGAGTTATGATCAAAATTCATTTGATTAATCTTAAATTAGAATTATATTGACTTGACAGATTGTAAACTCATAGTTGTAACTAAATTCATACAGTATACTATATTTAATCTTTCTGTTCACATGGAAGAGTATAATGCGTTTCTTTGCTTGATCATTTGGATCAAGCAAGCAAGGTGAATTTTTCTGTTCTCCTTTGCTTTTCTTGGCTGTGTTCCCCTTTTCCATTTTAGTAGTTCCTCAAAACATATAAACCATTTTTCCCCATAATGTGATTGCATATTTATAGAAAGTGCAACTTGACTTTAAAAGTGGCGTAATTGCCCACAAAATCATATTGAGCTGGAGTCTGCGACATAAAACACATGCAATGTGAGGGATCAATGACCGGAGCATATTGTGCTGTTTATGCCTTCCTAATAGTGATCTGATTTGTTGTTGAAGCAGTATTTACACAATTTATGCAGCTGAAATGCAGTTGTTTAAGGAAGTAAAAAATTAAACTCTGTACTGCCATAAGGGCTCTGACCACTGTAATTAGTATAATTCTGGACAGATTACTGTAATAAATCACACTGAGGAAAAGCAAAGGAGATCAGACTCATGTTCTGTTTCAGGCTTTATTTCTAGATCTTTAAAGATGGCTCAGAGCATGTGTGTATACATTAAAAAATAGGAAAACAGGAGAAATCAAAATGCCTACTGGTTTGAGAGCTTTATATATGATGAGTTACTATAAAGATTAGTGAGTCTGAAGAAGAGTTGGAAGGCATGTAAAAATGTGAAAGCCAGCCCTTCTTTTCTATTTCATGTAACATGAGAAAAGAACAATATTTGAGCTCTGGAAGCACAATATAGTTGGCGACAGTGAAAAAGACATGCCTTGCGCAGCATGTTGCCTATCTTCTATTTTAGGGGTGTTATTTTAATTACTTTGGACTCTCTCTGACTGTCTTCTCAATTCCCAGAAGCTGTTTCTCTGTCACTGACATGCTGCTCTTCCTATTGAGCTCCATTGCGGGGGAGTGCCTGTTACACCCTTGAGTGCCAGCTTTTGTCTCAGAACTGATTCAGAGATAACGGTATGGATCCCCACTACCTGTCGACTGGATCAAAGTGGTTCCCCGTTACGTGCAAATCCATTGTTTAGTTAACCATCCAACATGCGTTGTTCGATATATTTTTCAGTGACACACTACTTGAAAGTAAGGTGGACAAAGAAACTGTAGATTAATTTTTTGGAGGGATTTATGCACCTAACAATGCAGATAGATATGTGATGACATTTAGAGAAATGATGTTTTAGGCAAATTATTTAAATAATAGGCCGCATTTGTTATTTGAGGTACAGTAAAATAATCCCAAGTTGTTCAATGTCATACTATGAGAGAGATCTGAAATTTAGTTGATGCACAGTGAAAAAGCTCTGGTGTGGAAGCAAAAGGGAATGACCTTGCTTCTTCTTTTTATCTTTTGAATTCCTGATCAGTTGTGATGATCCATATACACCAATGGAATCCTATCCAGTTAGTGAATGAAAAGAGTTTGTTTTATTAAAAAAGTGGATACCTAAAAAGTTCCATCCCCACTGCACCGGTAGGCCTTCAGACCTTCTTGTTTTACCAGTAATTTCACATGATTTTGTTGCCCTAGACTTCAAATAAACCACAGTGTTTTAAATACATCTATATCCCTCGAATTTTTGGCTATAGGAAAACTAGCTGAAATAGCTAAACCGCTTTAACTTTGGAAACTATTCACAAAGTATACATAATAGTTGTTATCCATCCTGTTTTGTAACAGTGCCAGAACAAGTTCTTTTGAAATGCATGAGATGGAAACCCCATTCTCTTCAAGAGGAAGCACCTTTCACTTTGCAGGGTTGTCTCAGACCAGGGGGTATATTATCCTCTTAATGCACTTGCATAACTCCCATTAACATTGATGGAAATTACATGTGCTCACTGTGAGGTGAATATACCCTTTTGTTGAAATGAGCGATGTTTCGACAGATTTTCCAGTGATGTTAAATCAAATTTAGATTGCTATACTAATTTCACTAATACTAGTTTTAGTATCTTTGTTGCTTGTAGTTTATATTAATGAAAATTCACAGTGTAGCTTTATATTAGGTCACGTGTTTCTTAGAATGGAAAATCCCATTTACAGTGCTCTAGAAAAATGACATTTAGAACAGGTAACTTGACCATTTTTTTCTCCAATATAAAATGTGGATCACTGTGTAACAAACTTTATATTTCCTTTTGGCTTGGTAGTTAGTGTTTGCAGTTCCTTTAGAAATAGTTTGTAGAGGTTGTGTATTGCAGATGTCAAACTGTTGGTCTGTGGTTAGGACAGAGGAGTGCTGGGTTCCTGGTTCTGTTGCTGGCCTTGTTGCTGGAAGTCTGTTTGGCTCAGGGTGACTCAGCTGACACTAATGGATGTCTAAAATGTACAAAATCAGAACGTTGTAGCTCACAGGTGTGTTGTAAAAATTAATTGTCTGTAAATTGGTTTATTGTGAGATGAAAGTCTCTAGCAAAAGGTCAAATGTTATCCCAGAAAGCAATATAACAATTTTATCAAAATGTTAGCAAGATGTGGCTCCTGTTTTACACACAGCTTTTATATTGGTGTAACTCCCTGTTAGAGAGCCATTTATTTATATCAATACAGTTAGACTGTTGCAGCCCCTAGTGTGGACACAGTTGTACTGACGTAAAGTGCTTCACTTGTATTGTTTATTCCTGTCCGTGCAGGAGCACACTTGGTACCTTAGTAGCGACATACCTGTATTTGGAGGAGTCGTGCCATTTCGTATTTTGCTAATTTAGGGTCAGTCTGTGTAGCCAAGGATGTAGCAAACAATGAAAAACCTTCAAGACGATTAGCCTTCTCCAGCAAAATCTGAATTAGGTCATTGGAGGCAATGCTTGTTTTAAGCAAAAATCCAAACAAAAATCCAAATAAATCATAGATGGAACATAAGTTTTTATATATCATTGATTTTCAAAATATTTACTTCTAGAACTCTGGCTTTTTTTCCTTAAAACTACAGCTAGTATTTTCATACAGCAGTTTCAGGAACCATCATATTTCCTTGCTGGTCCTGCAGCTGTGTGTGTATTTTGGTTTGAGTAGGAAAATGATAGACTCTTCTCTTTCTAACCTGTTTCTTACTCCTTCTCTTCATTGATTGTTGTTCTTGCACTGGAGAACTATATCCTGTCCATTTTCAACCACAGAAACCATTTTCACTGTAGCATCATTTCATGATATATAGCATTTTAATGATAGTGGCTTAAAGTTCTTTTTGCTTTCAGAGGCATGCTTTTTAATGTGTATTTTAAAGATAAAATTCAAAATAATGATTTACGGATGCACCAGAATTTGTGATCTATGGCCTTCTCGATGGATAATTCAGTATTAGATGTCCTAAGTGTCAGGAAGTTCTGAGGTAACCCTGTGTTGCACATGTGACACTATCAGTGTGGGAATACTAGAAGAAAATGTTATATTTAACATATTCATGTGCCAGTATCTTGGAAAGATACGTATGTAAGAGGTCCTTAAAGAAGCCAATGAAGAGATTACATATCCATTTGTCCAGCCACTATTAAGGAGGAGCACGTAGCTGGTTCTCAAGAGCACAGACGGCCCCTCCTGAAACTCGCTCCCCACCTCGAAGAGCCTGGGTCAGCTTTTCTTAATTACTAATGACTCTTGGGTCCTTTAATTTCAACCGCGGCAGCGAAGGGGAGCTGTGTCACCCGCCCGTTGCGAAGCCCCGCGGCTCGCCCTCCGCAGGTGGCTGGGTGCGGGGCGGCGGCCTTATAAATAGAATAAATGTATTGAAGTCTGGCTTTATCTCTTCAACATTTATAATGTAACTTAGTATAATGTTCTGTGTTGGCACACAGGAGAATTAAGTTTGGCTCTGTTCTCATTCCCCATACTAGCAGGAGTTAAGAACAAAAAGAGGCATCTGTATCTAATTCAGGCTATGAAGGGAGTCAGGGACTTGTTAAACTCAACCGTAAACCATAGAAAGTAAGAGGACCTGACTTTCTCTAAAGCAGCTAGGTTTCGTGGGTTTAATAAAGCTCAGCTAGATGCCCCAGCTGAAGAACATTGCATGAATTTCCGACAGCACTTTCCTAAATATAAAACAGGAGTGACCAGACTTGTCAAATTCATATGTGTAATCTGGGAGAAAATAAGAGGCATACCTAATTCTCATGAGAGCCACTACAGATTAAGCATCTTTAATATTGGAGGATGGCCTGCAGACGCACATAAAGCAGTGGGCCATCTGTACCACTCAGATCAAAATGCATCACTGGAGAGGGTGCTATATTAAAAGTGAAGGCAGATTGGGGCACTGCTGTGGAACTCTTCTGGTTTTATCTATGAGTTGCAAATTAAACTTGTTGACAGAAGTGGAGAAAGAGCTGTTAATAGAGACTTTATGTCGTATTTCTTTCCTGAAGTTCACTGAAGACTAGGG